ATTTAATATTACAAATCCTAAATAAATAAAAATAATCAATCATTTAAATAATATATAAATTTATACAAAAAATAATATAAAAAAATTATACCTAGATCATTTCCCTTAATCTTATTTTGAAAAGGCTCACATTTCGTAGGCTACTTTGATTATTATTGCGAGCTTTTAATACCATATTAAAATACATTGAATAACACGTTAAGATTGTTTTGAGCAGGCCCACATTTCATAGGCTTATTTTGTGGTCATGTACTTCAAAAACGGTGAGCATTCTATTTTGATTTATGTGAATTTGCTATTTTCTCTTATACCATTCTTAAATTTTTTTTGTTCATATATCAAATAGATTTTGCTTCAATATAGACCTCTAAAGTATCCTATAAGCATTCCATAATAATAATAACAACTTAACTTTTTTTTAAAGATTAGTGTTTATCTGTTTTATTTTTTAAAAATTAAAAAAAAATTATTTAAAAATTATGTAGTTTTAATAAAGTACAATAAAAAAATAAGAAACACTTTAATTTATACTTTAAAATAAGGTATTTTAATCTTTTTCAATAAAAATTTATTAAAACGATATAATTTCGAAATAATTTTTTTTTTAATTTTTAAGAGGTAAAACAAATAGTTATTATTTTTTTTTATGTATATCAAATAAATTTGCATCAATACAAAACTATAGATCCACATTGCATTCGGTAAGCCTTTATATAATAATAATAATAATAATAAGAGTTTTTTAATATTCCTATAATAAAACAATAATAACATTAATGGGTTTTTTAGCCTACAAATTAAAAGTATAATTAATATATCATTTTATCATTAATTAGTATTAAAAATAATAAAAACGAATATTAATTCATCATCAATTTTAATTAACTCATTAATTAAATAACAATTAATTATTTTTTTTAATAATAATTAATATAAAAAACGATTAAGTTATACTTTCAAGTCAGGCATTAAAAAAATCCTAATAACACACCGCCAGTTACGTATCGAACAAAAACAAATCCACCAAACCTAAACTCCTCAGGCTTCTTAACTTTTTGTGTTGAATTGACGTGCTAAGCAAGTATCTGCCCCCCAAAATTCTAAAGTTGATTGTTATAGTCAATGCTCTGCAAGTTACCAAGAAAGTGAACGTCTAGGTGCAACGTAATTAAGCATCATCTAAAAGGAAACCATCGAGAAAAGTCATTACTGGGGCCAGGCACAACTGTCTCAATTTAATTGATGATGATTTTCCGCGTTCGAAAAAATAAAAATAAATAATAGTCCAAAATCTGGTCATCAAATGTTGGAAGGTGGAGAGTGTGTGGTTATTTTAAGGCCAAGAAATTAGTAATTCTTCTGTAAACCATTAGACTCTGTTTAAAGACCTGAAAGTTGCCGACACCTTTTGCCCCCTTTTGCCCCCTTTTGCCCCCTTTTGCCCCGGCCCTCTCCATGCCTAGTCCAGGCCTCATCTTTGTCGCTCTTCTTCTTCTCGCCTTAATTCATGAGACCTTCAGTGCCAAAGATAAACATTACTGTCCACCTTCTTCTTGTGGAAATAATTCGAATATTAGCTACCCTTTCAGATTAAACACAGATCCGCCTAATTCCTGCGGAATGACTGCAGATCCAGTCTATACTCTATTCTGTGAGAACAACCTTACAGTATTGTACTCTGATCAATCAAGAAAATTCTACGTGAAAGCAATCAATTATGACAATCAAACAATTCGAGTAGCTGATGCTAGTGTTGAGGAAGGGAGCTGCTCCATACCTCAATACTCCTGGCGCGCCTCTAACTTCTCAACGTTTACACAATATTATTCTTATGATCGTTATTATTATTATTATTATATTTATAAAAATCATGTTTATGTTTGGGAGAGCATTCTTTTCATAAGTTGCGGAAATCTTGTAAGTGATCCTCTTTATGTGGAAGCTCCTGCCTGCATTAATGACAGCTCTTTCTCCACACCTTATAGGCCTAAATCTGAAGGCAAAAGGTATTATTATGTGAAAGTTGGAAGGCCAACTCGACTTGAGTTAAAACCCTCATGCCGTATTGAGCTAATGGCACTTACACCTTTCATACGGGAGAAGAATTACGAGAACCTCTCCTACCTGGACATCCACCATTGGTTAGCATATGGAATTGAGTTGTCGTGGAGGGATGCTTCATGTGGAGAGACAGATTCTTTCTACATTAATGAGGAAAACCAGTGTGTTAATGTTTCTTATCCTCCGTATTATGGTACTTTAAAAACAAACTCTTTTGATTTGAGTTCCAATTGTGCATATATATGCCTTTTCGTTTCTTGGTAGTATCTTTTTTTAGTTGCAAAAGGTTTTGGCTAATTTTGTTTACTTCATGCAGTGAAAGTGAACCCAGTTTACGAAGTTTTGGACAGAGCTATAAATTGGCTCAGTTATCATTTACCTGGTGAGTACCTCTAATCCACATCTTGTTCAAATATATTATATATATGAAGAGTAAAATTTTAAGTAGTATAAGGAGGGTATAGAGTCAACTCTATCCATTTTGTTTCTCTTTCTTCTCTTCCTTTGATTCTCTAAAAATGAGTTTGACTTAATGGTAATTTTATAAATATTTTGATCTTTAAAGGCATTTTGATAGATAAAAGTTTTAAATTCAATAATGACAATTGGTGTAATTTTTGTTAAATTTTTATCTAGTTTGTAATTACATTTTTCTTAATTTATATCTTTTTTCTATTTGAATGAAAATCTTTTATCTTTTTCTATTTGATGCTATTTTTGCAATAGTTTTTTTTTTTACTTTTTATATTTATATGAAAACTTTTTAATCTAATCTTAAAATTTATCATGTTTTTAAATCAAATAAATTAAATTTGATAAAATAATTTTAGTTTTACATATTTTTATTATAGAGTATTAAAAGATTTTTTAAACTTATTATAATATTCATAAACTAATTATGTATATTATATTTTTTTATATGTTAT